TCCATCTAAATATTTTATTGCTTTTGCCAAATGAGCCAAGGATTATATTTTCAGGAGATTCACTGGGTAAGCCCAGATTCTTCATTTTGCATTTCTAGTTTTTGTATCCACCAAGTCAAAATTTTGTAATACAATCAAAGTTGTTCTAGAGGTTACTACCACCTCTAAATTTGAAAAAAGTAATTTTACAAGTTTTCATCTACAATGATTGGCGCTCATGGTTGAAACCCTTCAAGGTTGACAAAAGAGATATAGACAAACATCCAAACAAAAAATAAAGTTAAAAAACAACATAAAATTAGATTCTAGGATAAAGATAAATACCCTTTTCACCTTCAAAATGGATCGAATAGCATAGTAATTCTCTATGGTACTACACAACAAAGGAATAATCCTTATTCACAGATATTAAACAATGTTATTGATACATCAACAAACTAAATCTAAAATTATGCAGGAAAGAAAATACAGTATTAATATGAATATAAATATGAATCTTAAAAATGGTAGTGAATATACACATGAAAAAAAAAAAACGAATACACATATTTACGATCCACACTCTCATTGAGTTGTCATCCCTACAAACTTCAACCACAACCCTCTGACATGAACTGCTGCAGTCATCTATCACTGAATCTTCTTCCACCAGCGTCATAAAAATAACAAATAATTTAGTCCAAAGCAAGCCAACTTCAGATTTGCAAAAAAAAAAAAAAAAATAAAAAAAAAATAAAACAAAAAAAAAAAAAAAAAAACCCAACTTTGTAGCCAATGTTACCAGGGTCTCCATCAACGCCCAATCCGTTGGATCCAGCGGCACTAAAAACACTTCAAGCGACAATTGCAAAATAATAATAATAATAATAATAATAATAATAATAATAATAATAATAATAATAATAATAATAATAATAATCTTGAAAATTGTAAAAAAATATTTATGTTTTCAGTAGTGCAACACCAAGATATGATTCCACAAAGAGAACAGGAAGAAGAGGGAAACAGTGCAAAATGAAAAATTATAATTTCCAAACTCACAAATCCATTATATTTATAGGTAGAAAATATGAGAATTATAAACTTGTATAATTTTTTTAAAAGGAAAGTGTAATTATGTAATATTACCAATTAATAAATTTTAATTAATTATTTAATTTTCATTTTACATTTGCTTACCAAATAAGTTTTACTACAAAAGTTTGAGCGGAAAAATGAAATAGGAGGATTTTGTTTATATATATATATATATATATATATATATATATATATATATATATATATATATATATATATATATATAGGGACGCACTCAGGTGCGAATAGGTGCACTTGTAATACATTTTACTTGCACTTCGATGTTCAATTATTTACGAAAATGCCACCGCGTTTTTTTTAAAAATCAGTGTTTCTCATCCATTAGATCTGGACACGTGGACGAACAGAATCCATTCTATTTCGCGCCTGGGCGAGCCGTTCGCACCCGAGTGCAAGTCTATATATATATATATATATATATATATATATATATAGATTTATATATTTAGTTTGGTAATTAGCTAAAAAAAATTGGGATGGGTGTTATTTGGGCTAGACTGTGATTTTGGCGATTTATGATTTTAATTTTTATTGTATATTTGGATTGTTATGCCGGGGAACCGTGTCGGATACGGTTCTATGTTCATAATTACTGAAAACTCTATGTTCATAATTATAAAACTTTATGTTCATAATTTTTGAACTTCATATTCACGATTATTTAACTCTATATTTACAATTACATAACTCTATGTTCATAATTATTGAACTCTATGTTCATAGTTATTGAATTCTATGTTCATAATTTTTGAACTTCATATTCACAATTATTGAACTCTATATTCACAATTACAGAACTTTATGTTCATAATTATAGAACTCTATGTTCATTTTTTTTGGTGAAAGGAAGGGACCGTAAGGTCCCAGAAAGATTTAAGAACTCTATGTTCATAATTTCTGAACTCTATATTCATAATTATTAGGGGCGGAGCCAGGATTTGCTGGTGCGGGGGGAGGGGGCTAATCACAATTTGAGAGAGAATAATAAAACATATTAATATTTATTTAACATATATCAAAATACATCATTATATTACAAATCTACTAAAGATTTTGGTAGTAAAATAACAATTTATTATTATAATAAACATAATTGTAATGTGTTTCATTTGCAAATTAAAAAAGACAGATTAAAGTAGTAAAAATTTAAAGATTTTGGTAGCAAAATGACAATTTATTATTATAATAAACACAATTGCAATGTATTTCACTTGCAAATTAAAAAATACAAATATTAAAGTAGCAGAAATTTAAAGATTTTGATAGCAAAATGACAGTTTATTGTTATAAGGAATAAGGGTCAAATAGGTCACTGAACTGCACACCAAAGTGCAATTAGGCCATCGAACTCAAAAACAATGCAATTGGATTCCTGAACAACACAAAATCATGCAATTAGGTCTAAAATGACCTGTTGATCTAAAATTGTGCTGACGTAACGGTTACCAATTTTAAAAATAAATTTTAAATATAATTTTAAATAAAATAATTAATTAAAAAAAAAAAACTAAAACTAAAACTGCCGGAGACGAATCGTCTCCGGCAGATCTAGTTTTTTTTTTTTTTAAATTTAATTAATTAATTTATGTAAAATATATTTTAAAATTATTTTTAAAATTGGTAATCGGCGTTTAAGGTAAACGGGTCATTTTGGACCTAATTGCATGATCTTGTGTTGTTCAGGGATCCAATTGTATTTTTTTTGAGTTCGATGGCCTAATTGCACTTTGTATGCAGTTCAGTTGCCTATTTGACCCTTATTCCTTATTATAATAAACACAATTGCAATGTATTTCATTTACAAATTAAAAAACTAACTAGATAGCAAATTAACAATCCACTAAAAACGTGTAAGGTGGACACGGTTCCACAGCATAATTTGCCGTCTATATATAATGTAATGCTTATTTGGGCTAGACTGTGGTTTTGGCCATATATGATTATAATTTTTAGTATATATGTAATGTGATGCTTATATGGTGTGGCATTATAGTTACAGTGTTATGAATATACTATGACCAATTATGAGTGTTAATTTTTTAATATCTTAGCAATTTCAGTAATTATATTTAAATTGTAAGCACATTTTAAATATTTCTTCTTATAGTTTTATGAACTCCAATGTTGACCAATACATTAATGGTATGAATGAAGGCTCTTCTAAGATATATTTGAGTTGTGATTCTGTGTGTAAGTCAAATACAAATATTGATATGCAATCTAAAGTTCACACCACTGAATGATACAAATGTTGATATCAGTGGCGGAGTCACAATGGGGGCAGTGGGGACAGCTGCCCCCACTACCCTACCCCATATAAATGATATATATACTAAATATACCAATATTTAAACAAAGTTTGTGTTGGCTTGGATGTTAAAGCCATTAGTTTACCTCCTAATATATAAATAAGAGGTTAGCAGTTCAAACCTTGTTGTTTGCTTTTTTTTTTTTTTTTTTTTTTTTTTAATATTCTAATATTGCCTTTTGTAATGGTTATGTTAATCACAAAGGACAAATACATTTGCTGGAAATTCGTTAATGTTAGTTGGCATAGTTGTTTATTTGGAATAATTAGTTAATGTTAGTTAGCATATAGTTGTTTAATAATTTTATTCGTATTTGATATTTTGTATTTTGTATTTGAACATTTTTTAATTCATTCATTTTACCTTTGCTTTTTCGCCCCCATTCGCCCCCATTCAACGTAAATCCTAGCTCCGCCACTGGTTGATATGTAATCTGAAGTTCACACCGAATTTCTTAATAGTTTGAGAAGGTTGGATCTCCAGTTATGTTGTTGAGGAATATAGACTACTCTTTGGGGCTTTGTATTGGAATACGGCAGTTATGCTATTGAGGAATATAGACTACTCTTTGGGGCTTTGTATTGGAATACGGTTGATTGTTACAAACTTGGAAAACCATGTTATTGAGGTACTGGCGCAAATTCTATGCAGAAACAACACAAATACTAATGTTTTGATAAGAAAACCGGTATTTACCCATGAGCAACTATATGTTGTAGTTTCTAAAGTTTTCAACTATATGTTATAGTTTGAAGTTTCTAAGGTTAATAATCCTGATAAGACAGGTTTTAATTTGGGATGAACATAGAAGTTTTTTAAACACTACTAAAACTGTGAAGTTCACAAAGAAATTTTTAATAATGTACAATTTTTTTATTTACGAAATGCAAACAAATTATATTTCGTTTATTTAATATATGTTCAACCTTTTATTTACTATATGTTCAACAAATACATGTGTTATACCATAACAACATAGCCGTGCATCCGGATGACATACTAGTCTAAGGGTGTAAATGAGCCGAGTCGCTCCCGAGTCGCTCGTGAGCAATTCGGTCAACACTCAGCTCGAACTCGGTCAAAATCGAGCTCGGCTCGAGCTCAAGCAACTCATGGATTAAACGACCACGAGCCGAGCTTAGGTATTGTAGGCTCGCAGCTCGACGAGCCGCTCACGAGCCTTATAATATATTATATAATATATAATATATAATATATAATATATAATATAAATATATTATATTTAGTATATAAAAATAATAATTAGGGAAGGAAAATTAAAATACTTTAATAATTATGTATGGATAAAAGTCATAAAATAAAGTAGTATAAATTTTAAATCAAACAGGTCAAATTCGAGATCAAAATTGAACTCAAATTGAAGCCTAAACTCGAGCTCGAATTCGAGCTCGAGCTCGAACGATCGAGCTGCTCAAGCTCGAGCTCGAGCAGCTCAACAGTTGCCGAGCTCGAGCTCGAGCATCAGTTCACAAGCTTGAACGAGCTCGAGCTCGAGCAATGCTATCATTAACGAGCACGAGGCTCGGCTCGTTTACACCCCTATACTAGTCTAAGCAAATAACCATAACAATCTAAGTCAAACATAAACGAAGTTGTGTTTATTACTTAATTTAGAAAGCAAAAGCAATTATCATTCTGGAGAAACTTAGAAATCCCATTACACAAATCCAAAAATACAAATATTAGGATTTTAAGAATTAGAGCTGCAAAAACCCATTTGTAGTTCATTGCACACCATCTAGCACTTAACTTCCTTGAGACCATGGGCAAAGTACAAGAATGTTGGGTCTGAAGCGCCATCCTTGTAATAAGCAAACACAAGAGTGCTATCGTCACTCATGCTCTCCCCCACAAAACTACAGAAACAGAACCACATCAATTTTTGGGTATAACAAAATAAAGGAACAAAACCTAGGGATTGTTGATGAACTTACAATTGCAGGTCACTAAGCTTTGAGAGCAGGAACTTGGTTGCTCCCTCAATGTTTTTTTTGAACACCTCCTGTTTCTCGGCATCCAGCTTAGGGGTCAACAGTTTGATGTATTTCTTAATGTACGCTACAAATTGCTTCTTATCAAAGGGAGGTTGCTCCTAAAAGGAGTATTATGTTAAACAGCATTTTTATAAAAATGCTACATCACAAACCACGTAATTCTTATATCCGTACCTGGAGTCTGAAAGTGTCAACAATGTCAACCACCTTAACAGCTTTGTCGTCAACCCCCTCATCCTCATCAGCACCTTCTGCAGATGGGTTTGCTCCAATATCTACATCAACTGCTCCCTGGACCACCCACTGTAATTCAAGAAGCAATCAGCACATTTCCCAAATTGGTAAAATCAAAATTTTCATAACTGAAAGGACAACTAGTCACCTTTCCCTCAACCTCCCACAGAACCCCGCTCTCAATTTCCTTGTAGCAAAATGAGTCAGAGAGAAGCTCATCACCTAGCACACAACAAAATAAAATAAAATAAAATAAGTAATTGTTATTCAATTGAAAAGAAATCAAATAAAATAAAAGGTAATTTTTATTCAACCATTAAATTAAAAAGAAAGAACACAATTCAAATTAGATCCATCCCATGCAGATGGGAACACAAGAGCAATAATTGATAACTCTATCATATCAGGAATCAGAAAGATATCAGCGCTCCTAATTAGACAAATTGATACCCCATTCTAATTCTTAAACGTGCAACTCTTTCATTAACACTGCAGATACAATACATAAAATTTTGAACAAGGGATTTTGCATCTGTACATATTAGTCACCCTAAGCATAAAAAAGGCAAATCTAGTATATATAAATATATAATCCTTTTCGAATATCATCAAGCACAGGCAACATACAATTAGTGCCAAAAACTATTATTTACTTGTTCACTTTTCGTGTGTGATAGACCAAAACATACAACTAGTAAAAATAACCTAAAAAGAAAAAATTACGAAATAGTTCAACTAACCATCAAAATAAGCAGATTAAAAATAAGAATACGGTTCATAAGAAATCAATCAATGAAAGATCAGACAAAAAGTGCTAATCCAAAAACATGAAACACAATCGTAGATCTGCGAAATCCGAAACTCTACGAATACATCAAATCAGAAATAACAAGCATCAATTGAGATCTAGCAGTACAAGAGAAAAGCACGCGAAATCCATTCAAACAAATTACCAGTTAGTAAATCCTTATAGACCAGCATGGTTGATAGCTTGAGCTCTCTCGGGATGCTCCGAACAGAGATATAATCAGGAAGAGAGAGCAGAGAGAGGGGTTGAGCGGGGGTACAGAACGAGCATATATAGTGCAAGGGTTTGGAGAAGATGAGATTGATTGGACGAAGAGTTTCCAATTACGGATATAGGACTAGGATTCTTGTTAATGCCATCCATATCCCTGTCAAACATTGATTCTCACTCAAATGGGTTTTCCAAATCATTTATTAATGTTTGCTTGGCTTATTGTTCAACTAACAATCTAATGGTGTGTTTGGCTCATTAGTTTAGACACAGGAATGATAATTAAAATCATAATTATTATTTGGTTAATAATTTTTTAAAATATAATTATGGTATTTAGTTATCTTTTTAATTAAAAATTTCATTCCTTAATTAAAAAAATAATAATAATAAAGAAAGTTAATGTCATATGGGATCCTTCGAGTCTAGTGATTTTGACACATTTAGTCTTAAACTTTCAAATTGATCACTCGTGTTCCTTCAAATTTTAAATTATTATCATTTGTGATCTAAGTTTACCACCCATAGTCCTTCAACATTCAAAATTTAACCATATATGGTCCTTCTGAAAGGATCATGGGTGGTTAACTTTGATCACGAATGATATCAATTTGAAAGTCGAATGACCACGGGTGGTCAATTTGAAAGTTTAGGATCAAACGTGACAAAACCACTATATTCGGAGGATCCTATATGGTATTAACTCTAAAAAATAAAAAAAAAATAAAAAAAAAATAAAAAAAAGGTATCATTTTATATTATCTATCATCATCTATCACCTCCTCACTATATCTCTTAGATTTATTTCTTTTGTTCATATTGGTGCTCTGGATGTCATTATATTAGGATCAATCGTTTTGATTTTTTGTTTTTATATGTTTAAAACGTTTATTCTCATTGTAGGGTCACACATAACCAAACATTAATATTGGTAATCATTTCAATTCCACCATACTACCAAACATGCAAAATATTTTCACCAAAAATCATTACTATTGTTGGATATCTGTTGGTAAAACCCGAATAATAATCCTACAGAAAGATTATTATTTGATGGAAGAAAAGGGAAGGAAAGGGGTGAAGAAATATGGCTCGTGTTTGGTGTTAGGTTTATAGCATGAGTCGAGCGACCACTCTTTCCTTAAAACCTTATTCGCTACCTCCTACAAGTGCTAGGAGCGTTATAACCTAGGTTTCCCAAGATAAAACGTGTTATGATTCAGTGTTTGAGCACCCAAACAAAGAACCCAACGAACTAGAGCAAAGCTTAGAACACAGTAGGCTAAGAAAGGAGTAAAATCATAGATTTTGGAGCTGAAAATATATTTTTCTGTGTTATTTCTTCCTTATAAAAATTCTGCTGCTACTACTACTTAGGAGAAGGTGGTGCAAATAGCATTTACCCTTTGGCATTTAAACCCATGTTCAAATCATTCAAAACACCATTGAAGGAGATTAATTCTGGAATTCAAAATTGGAATTAGTCTAAAATTAATTCTGTAACAACTGAATTAATTCTACCAACAGTCATTTGAACCGCTGGAATAAAGCCTTTTTCAGGCTCACTTTGGGATTCGATTTGCACCCCCCCCCCCCCCCCCCCCCCCGCGCGAAAGAGAGCATGTATGCTATATAATTCAATAAGCCTTAAAAGAGCTCTTGTATAAATAGTGGTGCAAATCTACTTCCCAAACCAATGTGGGACAAAAGCTTCACTTTTTCCCTTCATTTTCAAACTCAAATGGGTCTACTTTGAGAATCAATATCTTATTCACCCATTATCCGTTTTGAGCATACAATATACACTACAAGAATGTTAACATTTAGCGACGTTTTTTAAACGTCAATAAAAATAAAAATGCGTCGCCAAATGTCTTTACTGACGAAATAAATACGTCACCCGGACCGTCGGGTTAGCAACGTATGGAAAGGTATTACTGACGAAGTTAATTTTTCGTCACAAAATATTACAATTACTGACGTTTTTGCATAGTTTTGATAATGTCATGGAATACATACTTTTTGAAACGAAATATTAACAAAAACGTCGGTAATAGTTTGTAATGAAGTAAAATATTTCGACAACAAATGTGTCTTTACTAACGTTTTTCATACAATCATGCTTGTCATGAGTAAATTTAATTGGTGACGAAAAATGAATTTCGCCAATAAAATAACATTTACTAACGATTGTGTACATTATTATGCTATCATTACAAAAATTCATTAATGACTAAATAATAATTTGTCAATAAAAAGACATTTACTAACGTTTTTCCATTTCGTTGTCATCACAAGATTTTATTTTTTGAAAGCAAAAATAGCTGAGTACAGATTAATGAAGAAGAGCCGAAATAAAGTCAGGAGGGAGTGAGGGACAGTGTCCTAGTACAAAGAATTAGCCTGTCTAGAGACTAATTTAAATGAACAAGCACTAAATGAAGACTTAATTGCCAAACAATCAGTAATGATAATCCCAATATGAAACCGAGGTCTGGAGTTGGTAGCCGAGACATAGTGGTGTAGATTTGAACAATCCATGAAGAGGGCAACAATTGGCTCGCTATGGTCTTTTACCCAAGAAAGAGCCTCTTTGCATGCTAAGGATTCTGCCATCAACGCGTCTGTGCAAAACGGGAGGAGGCCATTTGTTGCTGCCACAAAGTTGCCGTCGGCGGAGCGAAAGATTGCACCGTAAGAAGTCGTGCCTGTAGACTGTGTGAAGCTAGCGTCAAAGAAGCAGTTGAGCCCATCTTCCCGTCACGGCTGCTGTAACGGCGAGGCGTTGGTGGATACTGCAACAGCACCCGACACACTGTTCCAGCTGGAGACAGCACCGAACGCAAGACTCCAGACTTGGCTTGGTCACTGCAAAGAAGCATTCCAGACAGGCAGACAACAGAGTTACACGCCTGCCAAATATGATAAAGAACAACTAGCACCTTAACAAAATTATCTATTGCTAACACACTCCTGGCAAGGTTTCAAAACATGAAGTCACACTTAGACTCAGAAAGAGTCATGCAATTGATAATTCTAATGTAAGAGTCATATAAATTTTCATATATATATATATATATATATATATATATATATATTTGCAATGGAGTAAATTCCATTTTTGGTCCTATTGCTATAGGGGCGTTTCCAATTTCAGTCCACTTTAATTTTTTTTTGCCACTTTACAATCACTGTTATTGAATGTGTTCCACTTTTAGTCTACCGTTAATATTTCCGTCAAGAGGCCGTATAATCAAAGGGTATTTTGGCCTTTTTATGTTTGTCTCTTCTCTTTTAATCCAGACGCTTCGTCCTCCTCCTCCGATATTCGAAGATGGCTCTTCGAACAACGAAAATGGGAAGCCAAAGCTACATCGTTTCGTTCGTTCCAATATGGGCCGACAAGGTTTCTTAGGTTTTGGGTTTAATGTTCTCATTTCTTTAGTCAAACATAGTCTTGGATGAGAAGAAAGGTCAAAATACTCCTAGATTACACGGCCTCTTGATGGAAATACTAATGGTGGAACTAAAAGTGGAACACATTCAATAATAGTGGTAAAAAAAATTAAGATAAACTAAAATTGGAAACGCCCCTATAACAGTAAGACCAAAAATGGAATTCCCTCATTTGCAATGTATACAATAAGCCTATAGAAGTATGAAGTATTGTCATTTTTTGTAAAATATACTTATAGCAGCAAGTATGAGATACCACATTAGTTATTACTAAATTTTTATTTTTTAATGTTTCAAAAACATGTTCATATTTATTAGTTTTTATTCATATTGACAAAAAACTGCTAATTAAGAAATTTTATAAGTACCTCCAACAAAATTTGCTTACCGAACCTTTTAAATTCATATTAAAGTTGGTGATAGGGATAATAGCTTCTTTAGCAGAAAGTCGGGTACTAAAGATGTTCCAACTCCTTCCAGCAATGATACAAAAGATGTTCCAACACCAAAAGTACTAAATAATACTGGTTTGTAGCTGGCTCAGAGCCCATTCTCATAGCTTTTGACTCCAAAAGTTCAAACTATGTCAAAAATTATACTCTACAAAATCCAATTAAAAAATAAAAAGCTATGAGTTGGTTTATTGCAACTATCAAAAGACCGAATACTTAAAAAAAATTAAATGAATAAAATCGTTAAGTTTAGTTGTGTATCTTACCTTGTAATTCACAAAAAAAAAAAAAATGGTTACCAAGATATGCAATTCTAAAATTCTTATGATGCATTAGAGTTAGAAGTTCAATTCAATAATTAATAATAGTAATTTTAATAATATATTGATACCAATCTGGTTGATCTCTCTGCAGCTAATGCAGCAAGTAATTGTTCATACTTTTCATATGGAAACTTTATCTTCAATTCTTGAACTTCATTCTTTAGTTGAATGTTTTCATCCATTATTGCTTTCATTTTCTCCTCAAGATGGGAATTGTTTGCTCGAGTAGATGTAGATGCCACGGGTTTCGGTCCATTCCCCATTCCTTTAATATATCCTGATCTTTTGCCCATTACTGCATCATAAACCGATCTAATTCAAGTAACACTGTAAACCAAAGATTGTTGCAGAAATATAAGATTTAAAGGACATTAACAAGAAGTACAATGTCATAATACATATGCACCATAAATAAGAGGCAGTTCTTTGATAAGAAAACAAAAATGGAAATAGTCAATTTCATTACCCATCTAAATGTCAATGCTGATCTAAGCAACATGCCAAGATTTCCTGGATCCTGCATCAACATTCCCATGATTATATAAATTGAATATGGAATTCTAGAAAGGTCATACTGAAACACAATCTATGATTCTATGGATATATTTTGATGCCATCTTATTCTAAGTGCTCCAGGACATATAAAAAGGTTTTCAATTCTAACTTCACTGACACAACTAACAGAGTGAACATAATTATTTGGGGACCTTTTCAGATGCCTTCAATTCACAGATGGGAACCAGCCAGCTACTACAATCATCCTCTCTAAAGTCATCACCAACACTATAAAAAGTTGAGGGAATCTGAATAGAGCACAATGAAAAGTGGAGTTGAGGGAATCCTATAGTAGTGTATAAGTTATCAAAAAATCAAGAATCAAGAGCATAATGATCATGAGGAGTTTGTTTTTTATTTCTCAATAATTTGTATGCAGACCATAATCAAATTTGTGCCAGACCATCACATGACTTGGTGGTGAAAACAAGCAAGCAAACCCACAAAAAGTATTTTGACAGCATAACAATGGCTGCAAAATTGATTAAAGAACATTTAGTTTTGAGCTTGAAAGCAAACACACACAAAATCAATTGAATAGATTCTATAGCTTTATAACATGTTTGAGAAAAACTAATTTCAAGCTCAATAGACAGATTCATAAAACGTCTTTAAAAAACACAAATTTTCTTAAGGAATAGCCAAAAAAAAAAAAACTTCAAACAAATAACTGAAATTGTGATTACATACAGATGTGTTGTTTCATACAACAATTATAGACAAAGATCTAATATAATAAAATGTAATTGTAGCAAACTTACCTCACAAAACTAAATTCCGATTTTATCCATAGGGGCTAGGGAAATCTCACAGATTATCTAAGCATGAAATAAATTTGGGCAAAAGCCCTAAGCCTATAACCTATGAAGAAACACTGCAACAATTTTCAGCATATGGATTGAAGCATTCTGCTCGAATATAGAGCAAAAATATAAAAACCAAAGCAAACAGACAAATACATTCGACTAATTGCACCAAAACAACAACAACAACAAAAATCGAAGCTTATAGGCCAAGAGCGATGAGGATGCAGGGAATATCACCGCGGTGAAGATTTGTAAGTTAGGGTTTATACTCACCTAGGCATATACAACCTCTTCTTCATTGTGTACGATTTTTGTTGATGTATTGCAACACTATGAAGCTGTTGAGTTCAATATGGTGAAGAGATGAGAACCTGCCTGAGATTTTGAGAATAGTTTACCGTGAAAGTGTCTGAGCTTTGAGAAAATTATGTGAGGATGAGGAATAAACGATAAATTGATTAATTTTTACAAATTATTATTTGTTTTAGTTATTATGAGTGGAGGGCACGGAATGAAATTTCTTTCCCGGCAAAATTATTTTTACTTTTAGCGACGATTTATTTCACAATATTTGTAAAACAAAAGTTTTGGTGGCATTTATTATATAACGTCGTCTATTCAATACTTTTGTCGATGAAAAAATAAAATTTCGTCAGTAAAAAGTACTGAAATATTAATTATTCATAACAATATAAATAGTGACGATATGCAATATAACTATCACAAAATGTGACGTTTAACGACGTTTTTATAACGTCGTTAAATCTTTCATCGTTAAATGCTAGATTTGTTGTAGTGGGGTATATATCAATCTCTTCGTCTCACTACGAAGAACCCGAATCCACTTTGACCCACCCAAATCGGAAGTGGACCCCACTGATATTTGTACCACAAAATAGCTACTTAAAATGCCAATTTTTGCTATTTTTTTCAACAATCCCCCACATGAATGAAAAATTGATTTTCAGGGTATTTTAAAATCGGAAACAACTGTGTTCAATGGTCGATCCCTGCATAGGATAGGTAGGGGTCAGTCACCCTTTAAACCTTCCCTTGTGAAGATATGTTTACTCTACTAGCTGTACGGTAGAACGCGATGTCTTTGAACCGACTGTAATTTGTGTAGACGATGACATATCTCACACAGGAACCTCCCAACCATGCTCTTTTCTCACGACTGTGCCCGTTTTGCTCGTGGGTCACCGTTCCTGGTTCTGCAAGAGTTTCTAAAGAATTTAGCCTGTAAATTCTCCTCTGAAGCGACCCACACTTCTCTCTCACATAGGTGATTATTTTCCGAGTATCCCGCATACTCACACATGTCAACCGACATTCGAATCATTTAAGCATCAATGTGCTAGCCTCGTGCGGGAGTCACTATTTTAACGAGGAGTGGTAGGGAGTCTTAGACCCCCACAGTGACACGCTCCGTTCCATAATTTAGTTGTCCCATTGAACCTAGGTGCCAGCTAGGTTGGGTATCCACTATAGTACTTTTAGTCCAAGGGCTTTAGACCCATTCCTCGTGTCAGCTTCTCCACAACTTCTTTTCCTAACACTTTGGTTAGCGGATCCGCTATATTGTCTTTTGACTTCACGTAGTCAATCGAGACAACACCAGTTGTGAGACGTTGTCTAATGGTATTTTATCTACGACGCATGTGTCTAGACTTACCATTAGAGAAAATTTCAATTTTGGTCATACGACTATAGGGGCCTTGTTAATTTCAACACCTAACTTTCAAAAGTATCAATTCAGTACCTTGAGTATATAATTTTTCTCAATTTTGGTCATTCCGACCAATTTACCGGTCAAATTCGACCGGAAAAAATAATAAGCACAAAATTGAGGGGCAAATGAGTCTTTTCCTCCTCCTCCTCTCGGCTGCTTCATCTCGGCTTCATCTTCTCCTCCGCCGTCGCCGACCACGACCGCCCTGATCAACGGCTATTGAAGTCAACGGCGGAATATCTGCAAGCCGCCACTACAAATCGCGGGCGCAATAAATCCTGCAGACCAAACAATCCCTCCGCAAATGGCTTTCCTTATTCTGCTCGGAGAAGACAACTAGCCGTGCGGTCTTATTAGCTCAGATCAGGTCTGTCTTACGCTTATATAAACTATCTGCAAATATCTTTAATTTCGTTTTTATTCTTCGTGTTGTTTTTTCTGCTTAGATTTAGAGTTGCGTTTCGTGGCCTAGGGTTTTGTCCCTTGAATCATAAAGGTTTTACATTGTCCAGGGCTCAATTCTGGGTTTATAGTTCAGGTATTTGTGAAAGCTTTGGTGTTTTTTTTTTTTTTTCTCTCCCCGCTATATTTGTAGACTTTAGTTTGATTTAGCGATAAAATTATCGATTCTTTTTTACATGATGCCTTGTGAATCTGCATATTTGTGAAAACTTTTGATTTTGTGCTACTGGGGGATGAAGCTTACTACGGAATGCTTTTGATTTTTAGTTTTCCAGTTGTATCAGTGCATATTAGGACAATTGCGGGCTATTGAAGTCAACGGCAGAGGAGAAGATGATCAGGGCGGTCGTGGTCGGCGACGGCGGAGGAGAAGATGAAGCCGAGATGAAGCAGCCGAGAGGAGGAGGAGGAAAAGACTCATTTGCCCCTCAATTTTGTGCCTATTATTTTTTCCGGTCGAATTTGACCGGTAAATTGGTCGGAATGACCAAAATTGAGAAAAATTATATACTCAAGGTACTGAATTGATACTTTTGAAAGTTAGGTGTTGAAATTAACAAGGCCCCTATAGTCGTATGACCAAAATTGAAATTTTCTCCTTACCATTATATATATGACTCTGTACTCTCCCAATTGTGGCTTGACTATCGCAATGCACACATATTGGAGGTACATGTCTTTCTCAATTAGGAATATCCTCTAGAAAATGGCGTAGCCATTCAGCCTCTTCACAACCTTTGTTCAAGGCTATAAGCTCAGACTCCATCGTGGTTCTCGCCCTCAACGGTCTCAAAGGTGTTGAACATCTCACGGTTGCAACATAAATGCCTTGTTGCACTGGTGTCGATGAACCACTCACGTGGGTTAGAGCCCACGAGGTTCACATCGGTCACCATAGCCGAAAGGCTAATCTCAACCTCCTTCTGACTGCTCTCTCCAACAACGTTGGCTTCAGAACTCTTGTTCTTCTTCCTTGGCACCTTGCAATCAGGGGATTTGTGGCTAGGTTTGCCGCAATTATAGCATGTACCATGAAACTTGTTCTTGGTAACGCCTCCTTTCGAACCAAGCTTCCGCTTGTTCCTCTTGGAGCCTTTCCGTGCTCCACAACATTCACCTTAGCGCCATCAATGACAGGACCTTTCCCGTCATTTTTCCTGTTCCCCTCCTCAATTCTGAGTCGCTGGATCAGGTCCTCCAGGTTCATCTCCTTTCGCTTGTGCTTAAGGTAATTCTTGAAGTCCTTCCAGCCTGGAAGCAACAAGTAGATCACCGATCCCACTTGGAAGGCTTCACTTAGCACCATGCCCTTGTCACGGATCTTGTCGAAGATTAGTTGCAAATATTCTACCTGACTTAGCACGTTTTGGAGTCAACCATTTTGAAGTCAAGGAATCGGCCAACCTCAAACTTCTTTGTGCCGGCATCCTCGCTTCGGTATTTATGATCCAAAGCTTCCCACAACGCTTTTGATGTGCTTATCTTTCAATACACATCATATAAAGTATCACACAATCCGTTTAGGATGTAGTTTCGGCAAAGGAATTCTGAATCCTTCCAATGGCCAACCGCCATCCAGATTGAGCATCTTGTTCTTTCAACTCAGGAACCTTCTCGGTCAAGAACCTTGCCAAGCCGAGAGTTGCTAGGTAGAACAACATCTTATGTTGCTACCTCTTGAAGTTCGATCCGATATCGGTGAACTTCTCCGGTCTTTCAGTCGAACCACTTGGTACCGTAGGTACCCGCATCGTAGGGATGTATCCCTCGGTGCTCCTACCATTTTGCGAACGAACGTTCACTGGTGGTGCTTGGGAATTTGCAATGTTGTTGCCATTCCCACCACTGTTTTTCTCAACGACATTTTCTTCCCCATGAATTGGCAAAACGGGGTTCTCCATTTCTTCTGGGAAATTAGGAGAAAAACAACCAACTGGAAAACAAGATATAAGGTTTTAAGCACGAGTCGAGCGACCACTCTTTCCTTAAAACCTTATTTGCTACCTCCCACAAGTGCTAGGAGCGTTGTAGCCTAGGTTTTCCAGGATAAAACGTGCTACGATTCAGTGTTTGAGCACCCAAACAAAGAACCCGACGAACTAGAGCAAAGCTTAGAACACAGTAGGCTAAGAAAGGAGTAGAAGCAGAGATTTTGGAGCTGAAAATATAATTTTTTGTGTTATTTCTTCCTTATAAAAATTGTGCCACTACTACTACTTCTTATATAGGAGAAAGTGGTATAAATAGCATTTACTTTGGCATTTAAACCCATGTTCAAAGCCTTCAAAACTGACCATTGAAGGAGATTAATTCTGGAATTCAAAATTGAAATTAATTCCGTAACAGCTGAATTAATTGTAACACCCCGTGTTACGGCCTTCAATCCCGGATTAATTATTAAATTAATCCCGTTAATAATAATTAAATATGATTTAATTCGGTTATATTTCCTTGAATTAATTAATAAGGTCCACCATGAACCGTGGACCCTTGCCTAAATTAGAGTCCTAAGCCTATTAGGAATAAAGAAAGTAAACCCTTTATTATTCAGATTCTAATTAGGAATCCTAGACCTAGTTATCTATTAGGAATAAAGGAAGTAGGCCTTTTACTATTCAGACTACGATTAGGATTCCCTTTAATTAATTAATATGGTCCACTATGGACCATGGACCCTTATCCCTAAACCCAATCCTTAGTCCCAAAAGGAATAGAATTAGCAACCCATAATATTAGTTCCTAACTAGGACTCCTAAATATATAAATAGGGGACTTAAGAGGCACCTAGAACCCCCCACCACAATAAAACGTCTCACCACCCAAAGAGCTCCAAGAATTCCCTTAGAAGAAATCAAGAAATCAAGAAAGCAAGAAAGCTTAAAGAAAGACCCTTCATAGCCAAGGAATTAATTAAGGCTAAGAGGTAACCCATGTCTCAACAAAACCTATTTTCATAGCTATGATTTCCCTCGTAGGATTTCCCCATATTATTGTGTATTGATGATTTGTGATGTTATTATTGATGATTGATGGGATAAGTCCATGGGTGATCTTGATATCGGGAGATTCTTGATAATTATGGTGTTCTTAACGATTATGTGGAGTTCTTGATGATTATAGGTTACTCTTGGTAATTGTATGGCGTTCTTGATGCTTATGTGTTATTTGTACCGAATCTTGTAATTAGAAGACGAATCGTATTCTTGTTGATGTAAAAGTAATTAGAACCCTAGGTTGATGTTCTTGTTGGCGTTCTTGATGCTTGTGTGATGATTCTTGATGCTTATGTGTTATTTGTACCGAATCTTGTAATTAGAAGACGAACCGTATTCTTGTTGATGTAAAAGTAATTAGAACCCTAGGTTGATGTTCTTGTTGGCGTTCTTGATGCTTGTGTGATGATTCTTGATGCTTATGTGATATTCTTACCGAATCTTGTAATTAGAAGACGAATCGTATTCTTGTTGGTATAAAAGTGATTAGAACCCTAGGTTGTATCGTATGATATTATTCTTGGTGTATCGGGTGGGGAAATCGCATGTTTGGGTGTCAATTATGTTTAGAGAAGCATGATATGTTATGTGCCGTACGTTTCTCGTATTTGATCAGTTAATTGTCTACGTGTTGATCGTTAATTGCATTGTAAAGTGTCTAAGCATGGTTTCGGGTTCCACAATGGTTCCTGGGGCGTTTTGTGTATAAAGAGTCAGTGCGGGATAGGGGACCCGCCACCTACCCGTGGCCAGAAGGGGCGTCTCCGGCAGCGGGCAGCCGGCGGGCGGGCAGCTGCCCGCCGGCGACCCGCTGCCCGGAACAGTGTTTACCAGCGGGTGGCCCCCCACCCACCGGCTACCCGTTGGAAATCTCCCCCATTCGGGACCCCGGCTTCCCCGTTTGATGTTTCCCCGATCCCCGTGGTGTCCCAACGGACTCTGTCCATCGTGCCGTGTCTAGTTTGATGCTTCGGGTACCGTTCGTAGGTTATGAGTCTTATATATTGCATGCTAGTTGAATTGGCATCCCGTTGACCTAGGTGGAAGAAGTATGAACCCCTTAGGACCATTCTTAGTATGTGAAGGATCACGCATAGGTTTTGTTATACGCTTTCTCCCCTTCCCAATGTGTTAATGTGGGTTGCATGTGCTTGCTATGTGTTATGTGTGCATGACACCCCAATTCAGTTGCGATCAGATTGGTTATCCCTGAGCTGCGGTTCAGAAGCTGGCTGCGGTCAGATTTACACTCTTGGGCTGCGGTCCACCGTTTGGTTGCGATCAAACGTTTCTACATGAGCTGCGGTTCATACTTTCCTGGCTGCGGTCAGATGACATTCTCTTGGGCTGCGGTCCACTGTTTGGTTGCGATCAAACATTATGATGAGCTGCGGTTCATCGGTCGGTTGCGATCGACCCCTCCGTGTTGCGATACGGGGCAGGGTGTTGCGGGCCGTGTCAGTGCTATATGCGCTGACCCTCATGTATGGGCATGCGATTGGTCCTGTGGCGCCAACAAAGTGTGCTATGTGATGAGATATGGATGAGTTGTGATTATGAGTATCTTGGGGGATGTGACTATGGAATTTATACTAGGGATTGTTTATGTTGGGTGATGATTATTAATTGTGCTTATCTTATCTGTCTTGCCTGTTGTAAACTATATATGTTCGGTATAACTGCTGTCTGTGCTTAGCCCTATCTGTTGAGTCTATCCCTGTTTTAAAAGCTAGAGTTCGTAGGAGATATCCTCATGTTCAAAATGACTTTTCATATATATATATATATATATATATATATATATATATATATATATATATATATATATATATATCTATATATATATATATATATCTATATGTATTGTATTTCAACGCGTTGGAGTGGGTTACCAGCATCTCTCGCTGAACAG